AGACTTATTTTTAAGGCCATGATAGATGACTGGTGAGACCTGCTTTGACATTCCTCCCAGCCGCATTCTTGGCACAGACCTTTGAGCCTATTATCACCCATGTATTATATGTGTTTGTAAGAAAAGAAAATTGACACTGTCTAGACATTTCCCCTATGCTTACTACTTAGTGTTTTTTACTGAAACACATTTCCTGATAAGCCCCCTTCATTCTAATGAGAATTTCAATTGTACTCACCTCCCTCTATCACTTGTTTATCAAAATGCATGCATCTGCTCTTAACTGACAAAATTAATTATTTCTGATCAGGTTATTGGCAAAGAACATGACCTCAAACACTATCCAATTCTTATCAAAATCTCTGTTATACAAAATAGTATTCATAGAGCATTCTAGTCTAACGTAAACAAACTTGTTAAATTACTTATTGCATTTATTATAGAGATTTTTACCAACCATGTTAAGTTGCAAAGTATCCTTATAGGACTAAATTTCTTATGCAGCAAAATGCAATGCTTTTCCTAAACTTGTTTCGTTTTTTTATTTTACGAATATTAAGACTAATCAAGCTTCCCTCTTTGTTTTAGTTGCTAGAAAACCCAGAATCAAAGTTGACACCAGCACTGGACATGACTTAATGGCATGCATGTTTGTGTCCCAACCTTTGCTTGAGTTTTATATCATGATCTTATCTTTAATTTTCTGATATCCCATTCTCTTTTGCTGTTCTTTTATATATTGTAAAATATATATATTTTTATGAACCAACTCAAATCTTTTTGAAAGGAAGTTGTAGAAAATAAATTAAAGGTAACTAGAACATTTAGATTGTTATTTTAAAACAATTGTCTTCTTTCCTTCTTCTCTATTCCCACCAGTACTAACCTAGTCAAGGAAAACAGACAAGATGTTAGGGTATCTTTGATGTTCAGGATTCTATATCTATTTTTTCTCCCTATTTTCACAAACATAATCGTTAAGACAACAGAACTTACCAGATAGACAATATGAAGATCATTCTCTAAAACAAAGCCCTTCATTGCTCTTTGCAGGTCAGCAAAAATATCTAAAGTATCAGCTGGAGAAAGTGAAGAAGAAAGAGTAGCCGAACCAAGATGTGCTGGATGATACACCTTTCCTGGTTTAGGGTTAAGGTGAAAAAAGAGAGGAACATTCAAAATAAAACAAAACAAAATACTATCTCTGTATTCCAAAGCTAACCCTCTTGGCAGATAAATTTTACAAATAATACCTTATCCAGTGCATGAAAATGTATGAGCAGGCTCTATGATAATTGTCTGAAGTTGCTAAATACAATACTGATTTACTAAAAATGAGTTGATACACTGCTCAAAAAAATCAATTTCCTGTTATACTACAGGAAAAGACAGTTTCCATTTACTGAGCAGTAATACACTCACTAAAGATGAAAAAGTGAGTAAATTGCAACTGAGAAGTCACACTTACCTTCTGTTCCATCACTGGCTTCTGTAATCTGGATGAATTCATTTTCTAGCAGCCACATGACACAGGCCTCAATTGCTCCAACCTGAACAGACTCTTGATTTCTCTGAATTTCTTGCTTCCCTTCCTTCATACTTGCAGCCAAAAATGTACAGTCAGCATAAGTATGCATATCTTGTGATGTACTTGCCACTCCACCAACTATTATCTGAAAGAAAATATTTGAAAATTTCTGTAACTTTTTACTAAAACATGCAAGCCCTCTGGATATAAAAGAAAGAAAGCGATTCCATTCTCATTGTTTAAAATTTTCTTAGAATGGTTCAGGCACGGTGGCTCACGCCTGTAATCCCAGCACTTTGGGAGACCGAGGCAGGCAGATCACAAGGTGATGAGTTTGACCAACATGGTGAAACCCCGTTACTGCTAAAAACACAAAAATTAGCCAGGCGTGGTGGCGTGCACCTGTAATCCCAGTACTCAGGAGGCTGAGGCAGGAGAATCGCCTGAATCTGGGTGGTGGAGGTTGTGGTGAGCCAAGATCATGCCACTGCACTCCAGCCTGGGGTCAACAGAGTGAGACTCCATCAAAAAAAAAAAACAAAAGTTTTTAGAATCTTAATGTAGAGGTCATTTATTAACTATTCCATCACCACTCACTGTAACTGTTGAACACCTAATGACAACAGAAAAGTTCTCCTTAAAGTAGATAAAATATTTTCTTATGAAGAAAAATAAATTAAGCATTAAATCCATCTGAAATTTTAGGTGACAGGGCGAAATTCCACCTCAAAAAAAACCAAAAACATAAAGCACCAGGTGCAGTGGCTCACACCAGTAATCCTAGCACTTTGAGAGACCAAGGCAGGGAGATCATGGGAGGTCGGGAGATCACCGGAGGTCAGGAGTTCAAGACCAGCCTGGCCAACATGGTGAAATCCCATCTCTACTAAAAGTACAAATATTAGCTGGGGATGGTGGTGTGCACCTGTAATTCCAGCTACTTGGGAGGCTGAGGCAGGAGAATTGCTTGAACCTGGGAGGAGGACATGGCAGTGGGCTGAGATCATGCCATTGCACTCCAGCCTGGGCAACAGAGTGAGACTCTATCTCAAAAAAAACAAAAAAAAAAACAAAAAAAACCACATAAAGATTTTCATTTACTAATATTTTACCACTTTAGGCATAAAAGAGCAAATGGTAATTTAGCAACCTCTTTTACCTCCAGAATAGCTCGTATCATGCTGGCCGTCACTTCTTCTCCTCGTCTTTGCAGACAGCTGCAAACAGGCTTTAGAGATCCCTGAAGGAGAGCTATGCCTTTTGATTTCTCAGAGTTCTTACAAATTAAGATACTCTCACCTATAACCGAAAGACATGCATTTGCAAAATCCCAATATAGTTCTGTAAGATATCAGCTAAAGAGATTTTAAGTTGCCTTACTTATTTAAAAGGAGGCAAGAGATGATGGCGGTTGTTATAGTAATAAAATTATGGCTATTTTTATTTCCTGAACTTTAGACAGAAGGGGATCAGAATATGCTACTCCCAAATATGCCACTTTAGCGTAATGATTATTTTGAGCTGAAGGCCACTGGGAAGCAGCAAACACAGAAAGAACTCTCTGTTCTCTCCCTATCTGCCTAAAAGCAAGAATGAATTTTCCCTTTGTGATGATGTTTCCCCTTCCCTCTCCCATACAGGACAACAACCCTTATCGCTGGAGATAGTTCAGCAGAGATGGGTCTGCACAGACAAATTCTACTAAAATAACTTCTATCTTCCATTAGTTCCCCCCATATATTTATCTTGTCATAATTTGTTGACCCTAGAAGCCCAGGTACCTTTTCCTTTTTGTCACTTCTCTACAATTTACTGCCCATTGTTAAAATGTTATATAAAATCCAAGGTTTAACAGTTTCTCAGGTCTTCAATTCTTTTCTATAATGGCTTCCATGCACATAAAAATTAAAATATTAGCATCAAATAAAGTTTATATGCCTTTTCTCCTGTTAATCTTTCTGTTAATTTAATTAGCAGGTCCCAACTGCAGAACCTAAGAAAGTAGAGAAGTCTTTTTCTTCCCTTACAGGATTAACCATTATTGAATAATGAAGTAATTAATAGAGGTACTTTCAAACCTGTAAAATAAAATGCAAATGTAAAGTTTTACTATAGATGACAAAATAAATTCAAAAATACTTGTACATACCTAATATTTCTTACAACATTTACTAATCTAAATGCTTTATTGTGACAATCAAGTGAACAAACATACATGAAAGCACTTATATGTTAAAACCATATGCAACTATATGATTTGAACAAATACAAACTATTATTGCAACAGTTATGACTATAAAGAATCATAACTTGTCTTCAAAAATGAATCCAATACTGTGGAAAAGAAAACAGGTAAGAAGTTAAAAGAGCCAAATGAAGGATGCTTTTTTTAAAATAGAAACAAAACTGGCACAGTGTTGAATGTACTTACTAGCCCAGGCAAAGAGAAGGTATAGATTATGCTTTCCAACTGCCACACTGAGAATCAAGATAGGATAAAGTGAATATAAATTCGATGATAACTGGCTGTTTATCCCAGAAATGATTATAAAGATAGGCACCATTGAAAAAATGAAACAAGACATCAGCAAGTTGGTGGAATAGGAGGCCTTAGTACCCTCCTCCCAGAAGCTTGAACTAGCTTCTATCTGCAGACAAGAACACCTTTGTGAAAACAAAACTGCCTGGCCCAGTGGCTCATGCCTGTAATCCCAACACTTTGGGAGGCCGCCGCAGGTGGATCACCTGAGATCAGGAGTTTGAGACCAGCCTGGCCAACATGGTGAAACCCCATCTCTACTAAAAATACAAAAATTAGCTGGGCATGGTGGCAGATGCCTGTAATCCCAGCTACTCAGGAGGCTGAGGCAGGAGAATAGCTCGAACCCAGGAGGTAGTGATTGCAGTGAGCCTAGACTGGGCTGCTGCACTCCATCTAGTCTGGGCAACAAGAGCAAAATTTCATCTCCAAAAAAAAAAAAAAAGGGCCAGGCACAGTGGCTCACACCTGTAATCCCAGAACTGGGGGGGAGGCTTAAGGTGGGTGGATCACCTGAGATCAGGAGACCAGCCAGACCAACACGGTGAAACCCTGTCTCTACTAAAAATACAAAATAAACCACCAGGTGTAGTGGCACATGCCTGTAATCCGAACAACTTGGGAGGCTAAGGCAGGAGTGAGGCACAGGCTTAACTTGGGAGACAGAGGCTGCAGTGAGCCGAGATTGTGCCATGTACTCAACCTGGGCAACAAGAGCGAAACTCCGTGTCAAAAAACAAAAAACGAGTAACAACCAAACCCTCACTGACCCAAAACTTGGGAATAAGTCCCAAACTTCTGCATGGACCACAAAAATCAAATAAAAATTTCAAGATATATAAGAGAAACTATCTCATGTTGACTGCATCACCCCTTGCCTTCCCCCAAGTCAGCATAGTACCACACAGAAAGGACTCCCCAGGGCCCCCAGCTTCTACAGTGGAAAAAGAGAACCAGAGGCAAACAAATAGCTTCCCTAGCATTCCAAGAGGCTTCCCATGAAGCCAACTCCAGTCTCACCTCACGGAGAACACACTGGGTAACAGCACAGCTAGATCACCTTGGACCAGGCAGAAGGAAAGCAAGGAGGCAGAGCTCACGGTAACCAGCATGCCAACCTTGGTGGTAGCTCTGTGTACCTGCCAGCGGTGGTGTCCAATCAGAAATACCAGCCAACAGCGTAGCCCACCACAAAGCAGAGCTGATTACTTCCAGAAGTGGTAGGAAATTCCACCTGGTTTGAATCTTTTGATAGCCAGCCTCCAGGCCCAGCCTCAAAGCTCATGAGGACCCTGCCCAGGAAGGGAGCTGATCATCACAGTGCATTTTAGAAAGAAGCAGGGGAAGTTACCCTAAACCTGGGATTTTAAACAGTGCTCAGTTCAACCTCAAGGACCTGCCCCAGGTGGAAGATGCCTATCATAGTGTATTTTTGCAAATTGCAGGGACTAGTTCTGCCACAGATGGAATAGCCCTCAGTTCAGTCTCAAAGCCCACTCTTAAGGCCCCACCTAGGCAGGGAGGCAAACCTCAGATATGCATTTATTATAATTTTATTTTTAGAGGTGGGAATCTCTGTCACTCACATTGGAGTGTGGTGGCATGATCATAACTCACTGAAGTCTCAAACTCCTGGGCTCAAATGATCCTCCCATCTCAGCCTCCCACGTCTCTGGGATTACAGGCATAAGCCACCATGCTCAATCATGCATTTCCTGAGCACAGCAGCTGGCCACTGGACCAGAACAGCAACTCCACCTAACCACTGGGCCCAGCCTGCAACACTGTTCAAGTGCAGATCTGAAATAGGGATATACACTGCGACCCAGCAACTCTGCCTGATTGTAGAGGTCAGTTAGTGGGTTCACCTGATAGCAGGGCCCAGGCAGCAGTCCCATCCAGACTCAGAAAAAAGGCAGCAGCCCAACTATCTACAGAACCCAAAGGCAAGCTTTGCCTCCTCAGAGCTGCTACCAGTTGGCCTATTCAGAATCAAAAGCTAGACAAGTGAAGTTCTATCCCTGCCAAAGAACACCTATAAAAGCCAAGAGGTAGCTGTCCTCTCAAATGTGCAGATACCAACACAAGAACATAGATTACAAAGAACCAGGAAACCAAGATGTCTTCAAAAGAAACTAACAAAGCTCCAACAATGAACCCTAAAGAAATGAAGATCTGTGAAATGAGAAAGAATCTAGAATAATTCTCTATAAAAAGTCCAATGAACTACAATGATATTTGGATAAAAAATTAAATAAAATTTGGAAAACAATACACAACATAAGAAGTTCAACAAAGAAATAGAAACAATAAAAACAAGAGAAATCCTGGAGATGAAGAATACAATGACTGAACTGAAAAATGCAATCAAAGCTTTAGTAGAGGCTCAATCAAGCAGAAGAAAGAGAGACTAGAGAGATGGAGGACGGGGATGGTCAAAGAGTACAGTGTTTCAGTTAGGAAGAATAAATGGTAAGTATTTGGGGGTGATGATATGTTAAAATTGACTTAATTCCATCATTCTGCATTGTATACATATAGCATCACTCTGTATCTCATAAATATATACAATTATAACTTGTCAATATCCAATTTAAAAAATATCACATGACTGTAATACCTGGCTCTTGCAATGGTTACAAAACAGCCCAGCGTAAGAAAAACACAAACACACATATAAGTTACCTAGAAAATGAATCAACTAGCATTAGCAGCAAGGTAATAAGCCACTTTGGGGTGCTTAAAGGTCTTCCAGGCTTTGATTCTTCAACAAAATGAACTAACCTTTTTCTGAATGGGCAGGGTTTATGAAATGTCCAAATGCATGTCAGTATATACATAGAGGTTCCTGCAACCACCTGTCTGGGAGGTCTCATCCACATCACAAGAGGGAGTTGAAATTATTTAGAATCAAACAATTTATTACTGACTGCTGAACTTGCAAATTGCTATTCTGGCACAAAGTACCTTCATCCTACTCTGGAAGCTTCTAAGTAGTCTATGGGAAGACTGAAGTGTTATCTAAATAAAACACCGTGTGCTGTCCAGGAAATATTAATATCACTTATAAAATGCACAGAATTTACAATGATGCTACACAATGCAAAAAGCATAACCAAGTATTTAAATCTCCATAATCACTATAAAATACTATATTCCTACATTCCTCACTAGCTTGAAATTATGAGCAAGTCATATGGCATCCTGAAATGCAATGAGATGCAAGGTTAAAAGCTTGGAAGTCTTTAAGGCCTCAGAAATGAACTAATTACAATATATTTTAGTTCTGCATGAATGTTGTGATTTAAGACTTGATAATTAGCCCAGGACACTGACTTTCCAATTGTTCTTTCCCATAATAAACACAAGCTAAGAACACAGCAAAGCAAATAAGATCTTATCTTATTTCTCCTTATCGTCTACATTATCTAAAAGACCCTCTGTCCCTGAGAGAAGAATATCTGTTTAAAATGAACTTATACTCCATTCCCCAGGGTGTGAGTCCACTGAGAATTGGGGATGGGCAGAGGTAGGCAAATAGAAATGGGAAGGAAGAGTCTCACCCTCTTCCCTCAACCCTTCTTAAGCATGTACATGTCATCTGCATATTTTGTAGGTAAAGTAAGAGAGAAACAGGATAAACTGCTCTGATGTCAGTTGTAGGAAAAATCTAACAAAATAGAATTTTTTAAAAAAAAATCATCAACATTTCCGGGGCTTAAAAGAAAGGCAGACCAATGCCCTTCGGGGATTATAAATGGGTCATTTATTACTGGGGCTGAGACTGAAAGCTGTTCCAATAGCCATCAGTGTCTTCTTTCTTCCTTATTAGTTGGGTGTACGGCCACCTGGGCTAAAGATTGTATTTCCCAGCCTCTCATACAGTTGGGGAATGTAACCATGTGAAAGAGTAGCCTTAAAAGGCAGGACATGCTCTTTGCTTCCTCATCTCTACTTCCTGAGGGCTGAAATGCAGATGTGCTGAGAGAGACTGGACTAGCCAACTTATACTGAGGATAGAAATTATATTGCTGAAAATGTTAAAACAAAATAGAAGACTAGGTCCCTGACACACTACAGCCATGGTATAAGGCCTAGATTACTTACAATTTTGCTGTTACATGAGAAAGAAATTAACTTCTATCTTGTTAAACACCTATTGTATTAGTTTTTGTTACAGCAGTGAATTTATATTCTAACTAACCCAGTTACCAATAAATTATGATTAATGTTTGGTATTTGTGTTAGTCACGTTCTATAAAGTTGCCATGAACACAGAATACTGATTATTCTGCCAAGGAAAATAGATGATTAGTTTTCTGCAAGTCTCTAGTAAAAACATTTTCATCACTTAATCAATACAAAATCATGTTTCATGCATGTTTTTGTTTAAAGACATCTTATTTAATATACATAGTTGTTTATGTTGAGCTCCAGCTAACAGCATTATAATTCATGCCTAAAGAAAGCTTATCACATATTTTCTCCATAAGGCACAGCACAGCCTTAATGCACTAGGAACATTAGACAGCATTTCATACTTTGCCTGGGGGGTCATGTTAACAGGGAAATCATCGGCTAAAAGCACAAAAATGTGGCACTAACTAGCCCATTAAAAGCAAGCTTGTTCACAGTATAAGAGCTGAATCAAGAAGGCAGAGCTTTGGCTTGTTCAACCGTAACAGGGAAAGTGTGCTTGGGAAGACTCCAGTTTTTCACAGATCTGCACATGCCCGCAAAAGCCCCAGAGGAATTAATTTCGGGATACTGAATAAATTCTGTTAAGTGGGAAAATTCAAATATGGAATCCACGAATAATGATAACTGACATATTTGGGGACTTCATGTGACAAGTCAGTTTATTCTAAAAGTTACTTCCTCAGTGTACTACCCGGCCTCCTGTGCCCAGAATGTCCATTTCCCATCCACTTTCCTTATTCTCCTGGATTACCTAATTTCTCTTCAATAGCCACAAAATTGTTTGCCTGTTGTTTTTTTTTTCTGATATACCTAATAAAATACTGGTGTCAATTATGTCCTAGAGTAGAAAAATGAAGTGACAGGGAATGTTCCTTCCAAGGTTGTTTAATGTTAGATGGCCAATAATGAGTTAGTTACAAATATAATGATACAGCATATTAGAAATAAAATTTGCTGCCGTTTCGACATTTAATTCAAACAAACCTCTTCCTCACTGCTTAAGATAAAACTTTTAATATAACCATAACTTGCTGGTACAAGGTAAGAAAATGAAAAGGTGTTTTTTCAGAGCCAGTACCAATTTAGAGAAAAAAGATGGGATGCCAAGTTCCTATTCCCAAAGTGTGAGGGTGCTTCCCAGCATCCTTGTCTGATTTCTAAGACTAGTCACCTAAGTTGAACTAACCTCTGTGAAAAGTTATTAGTGCTAAAGAATAGACTATACTTGGAAATTAAAAATCATCTTCCAGCTAAGTAATAAGAAGTCATCTTGATTTACATAATACTAAATCATTTTATTGTATAGAATACAAAAGAAAATCTTAATTTAACATTTGTAGAAAATCAACAGTTGATGATATATGAAAATTATAACTCATACTCACTGTAAATATTAAGTAAATCCAAAATGATGACATCAGTGCATTGGATAATAAAGAAATACAGCATGATGAGAAACAGGTTGCCAGGCACCAGTCAGATTCCAAGTAGACACTGTCCTTTAGCAATGCTGCTACAATTAAATTGAAACTCACTTACCTATGGTATCTACTCCTTTCCTGCCAGCACGACCAACCATCTGCTTATAAGTAAGAATATCTAGAGGTCGACCACCAAAAATAGGAGTTCGAATAATCACACGACGTGCAGGTAAATTCACCCCAGAAGAAAGAGTAGAAGTTGCTGCCAAGACCCGAATGAGACCTTGACGAAAGGCTCCTTCAATGATATCCCTCTCCTCAAAAGTAAGACCTAAAAAAAGGTTTTCATGTATTTACAGATATATAATGAAAATATTGTTCTTGATCATTCACAAATGGATTTGAGAGTCTGCTTCAAGCCTCTAAAGATTTTTGAAACTATTGTTATGACTGTTGACAAAGGAGTCATCACAGTCTACCTCTTTAAGAGTATAATCTGGCCGCATGTGGTGGCTCACGTCTGTAATCCCAGCACGTTGGGATGCCGAGCCAGGTGGATCACTTGAGGTTAGAAGTTCGAGGCCAGCCTGGCCAACATGGTGAAACCCCTTCTCTACTAAAAGTATAAAAAATTAGCTGGGCATGGTTGTGGGTGCCTGTAATCCCAGCTAAATGGGAGGCTAAGGCAGGATAATCACTTGAACCTGGGAAGTGGAGGCTGCAGTGAGCTGAGATCACACCTCAGTACTCCAGCCTGGGCAACACAGCAAGACTCAGTCTCAAACAATAACAACAACAGAGTATAATCTGCTGTCCCTAGTATATCTCTATCTTATTTTACAGACCAGGGAGTCTACAAACTTTTCTGTTCCTATGGAAAAGCAGGTCTCTGCTGCAACTGTTCAACCCTGCCACTATGACATGAAAGCAGCAACAGAACAAATGGGCATGGATGTGTTCCAATAAAACTATTTACAAAAACATATGGTAGGATAGACTTGACCAGCAGACTACAACTTGCCAACTGCTTTTCTAGACAACAAACTCCTTGTCGATAGGACTATGCCTTATTCATCGATATATCTTCAGGGCCTATGCATCACAGTGATCAGGTACATTTCTGACATAAATATGTGTGAATAAAAACATGAGCAAACGAAAAACAGTGTACAGAATATATATGTATCTGGTTGATTTTCAATTTTATTTAAAAATTAAAAGGGTTGGGGTTCTAGTTTTAAAATTAAGTGGTGGGTACACAGTTGTTCACTTTTTGAGTATGCATCATAAGTTATATACAATGTAAATTTCATGTGTGTGTATAAATAGTAGTTTCCCCTCATCTGTGGTTTTGCTTTCCACAGTTTTAGCTACCCAAAGTCAAAAATATAAAGAGGACAATTCCAGAAATAAGCAACTCATAAGTTTTAAATTGCATGCTGCACCACCCAGGACATGAATTATCCCTTTATTCAGTGTATCCATGCTGTATACACTACCTGCACTATACAATGTGACTATATAGCAAAGAACGTAGTATATAGAGGGTTTGGTACTATCGGTGGTTTCAAACATCCACTGAGGATATTGGAACATATTCCCCACAAAGAAGGACTACTATATACCAGTTACATAAATATATATACCCCCATACACACACACATTTCAAATGCATTTAAAACTTTTAACATGTTATGAAAAAACATATGTAGGGTTGGTACTATCCACTGGTGGTCTTCAGTGGACAAGGAAAGACTACTATATACAAATAAGTAAACTGAAACATGTTCATTTTACTCTTGTTTCATCTATCATACAATTTCACTCTGTCCCTGAGGCTGGAGTGCAGTGGCATGATCTCAACTCACTGCAACCTCCGCCTCCCAGGTTCAAGCAATTCTTCCTGCTTCAGCCTCTCGAGGAGCTGGAATTACAGGTGCCTGCCACAACACCTGGCTAATTTTTCTATTTTTAGTAGAGACAGGGTTTCGCCATGTTGGCCAGGCTGGTCTTGAACTCCTGACCTCAGGTGACCAACTTGCTTTGGCCTCCAAAAGTGCTGGGATCACAGGCATGAGCCACCACACCCAGCCCACACAATTACTTTTTTTACCTTGTCTCCCAGGCTGGAGTGCAGTGGTCCCACATCTGGCCCACAAAATTTCTTAAAAAGAAATCTAAGGATATTAAGTGTGTTTAACAAGAAATAAATGTACACAAATATAAAAGTTAAGATAGTATGAAGAATTTTGGAGGTTTCTTAATAGATTATAAACGTGAAATACCTGCATGATGAAATGCTACTCCCCATGGTACAGTTTTCTGTAATACAGAGTCCAGTCCTGAAGGCAAACGTCTTAACTGATCCATCACTTCCAGGAGGTCTTTTTGTTCTGGAATTACTGGTGGGAATTCTGAGGATTTCACCAATCCTGTCACAAAAAAATTATCAACACTGTTCACTTCTAGCTCAGCCTCTTTAAGTGGTATCTGTCTAAATCATAATAGAGTTTAATAACAGGAAAATGGTTCTGAAACTGCTATATACTATAGTTCCCTGGAGATCCTTTAAAAATACTGATGCCTGGTTCTTAATTCTGGATATTGTTGTATAATTGGTGTGGGATGTGACCTGGGCATGAAGGATTTTTAAATCTCCCCAGGCAATTCTAAGGTGCACCAAAGTCTAGGAAACTCTAAGAGTAAGACCAAGCCCACAGGCAATGAATCAAAGGAAACTGCTAAAGGAAGTACAATATCATGGATACTGATTACCACTCAAAGCCCCAAAATCAACACCCATGCTCAAGGTGTATACCACAACCAGCAGTATCAACATCAGAGGGTTTCACCAATCCTGTCACAAAAAAGCCTACTTCTCTGTGAAATTATTCTAGCCTCTTTTGCACTAATCTGGTAGTTAATTACATACTACCCTCTGTTTTTTTGTCCCTATATGTAAACTTCTCCCCCAGTAAGAGCTTAACATTGTTTTGAGGCAGGGTCTCACTCTGTAACCCAGGCAGAGTCACGTGTGTGTACAATGGCACAATCATGGCTCACAGCAGTCTCGACTTCCTGGGCTCAAGCAATCCTCCCACCTCAGTCTCCTGGTTAGCTAGGACCAGACACACATGCCACTATGCCCAGCTAGTTTTTTTTTTTTTTTGACTTGTAGAGATACGATCTCTTATATTACCCAGGCTGGTCTGAAACTCCTGGGCTTAAGCAATCTTCCCACCTTGGCCTCCCAAAGTGCTGAGATTACAGGCATGAGCCACCACCCAGCCTTAACTTTCTTAAATGGAGTAAAAGCTTTACATACTTATATGCTGTGTTTAAAAACTTCCTAGACTTCTGAATTTTTGAACTTGTAAAAGTTTTCATAAAAAGTAAATATATGGCTGGGCATGGTGGCTCATACCTGTAATCTCAGCACTTTGGGAGGCCAAAGTGGGCAGATCACTTAAATCCAGGAGTTTGAGACCAGCCTGGCAAATGTGGCAAAATCCCATCTCTTAAAAAAAAATAAAAACAAATTAGCCAGGCATGGTGGCATGCACCTATACTCCCAGCTACTCAGGAGGCTGATGTGGTATGATCACTTGAGCCCATGAGGTTAGAGATTGCAGTAAGCTGAGATCGTGCCACTGCATCCCATCCTGGACAACAAAGCAAGACCCTGTCTCAAAAAGAGAACAAAAGAAAATAAATAAAAGTATGTTTTTGAATTATGTGTCAGTGGAAAATAATAGAAATATATATAAATATATATGACAAACAAAAACATGAGTAAATCAAAAACAGTGTATACACTTATCTGGCTCATTTTCAATTTTATTTAAAAAATTAAAAGGGCTGGGGTTCTAGTTTTAAATTAAGTGGTGGGTACACAGGTGTTCATTTTTTTAGTATGCATCATAAGTTATATACAATGTAAATTTTGCGTGTGTGTATATATCAGTTTCTCCACCATCTAGGATATGTTGGGCAGGCTGTTCTCAAACTCCTGACCTGTGATCTGCCCGCCTCAGCCTCCCAAAGTGCTGGGATTACCAGCATGAGCCACCACGTCTGGCCGGTGCATGTGATTCTTTTCAGGTACACATTCCTTTGGAAATATAAAGATATGGTTATTTTCCCGAAAGAAATGTCTACATGTGAAGTTTTGCATACAATTTAGCGGCTCCAAAGATCAAACTCTCAAAGTCCATGGATCCTGGATAAAGAACTTTAGTATATATCCAGTATTCTAAAAATCTAAAGTCGATTAATCTAATTGTGTGTGTGTGTATGTGTGTTTACCTAGTCTATACTAAGGACGGAATGTGGTTAGAATCTACCCATCTGACAAAGGGCTACTAACCAGAATCTACAAAGAACTTAAATTTACAAGAAAAAAAAAACAACCCCACCAAAAAGTGGTGAAGGATATGAAGACACTGCTCAAAAGAAGACATTTATGCAGCCAACAAACATAGGAAAAAAAGCTCATCATCATCTGTCATTAGAGAAATGCAAATCAAAACCACATTGAGATACCATCTCATGCCAGTTAGAATGGCGATCATTAAAAAATCAGGAGACAGTAGATGCTGGACAGGATGTGGAGAAAGAGGAACACTTTTTTTTTTTTTTTGAGACGGAGTTTCGCTCTTGTTACCCAGGCTGGAGTGCAATGGCGCGATCTCGGCTCACCGCAACCTCCGCCTCCTGGGTTCAGGCAATTCTCCTGCCTCAGCCTCCTGAGTAGCTGGGATTACAGGCACGCGCCACCATGCCCAGCTGATTTTTTGTATTTTTTAGTAGAGACGGGGTTTCACCATGTTGACCAGGATGGTCTCGATCTCTTGACCTCGTGATCCACCCGCCTCGGCCTCCCAAAGTGCTGGGATTACAGGCTTGAGCCACCGTGCCCGGCCTAAGAGGAACACTTTTACATTGTTGGTCAGAGTGTAAATTAGTTCAACCATTGTGGAAGACAGTGTAGCAATTCCTCAAGGACCTAGAAATAGATATACCATTTGACCCAGTAATCCCATTACTAGGTATATACCCAAAGGAGAATAAAACATTCTATTATAATGACACATGCACAGGTATGTTTACTGCGCCACTGTTCACAATAGCAAAGACTTGGAACCAACCCAAACACCTATCAATGATAGACTGGATAAAGAAAATGTGGCACATACACACCATGGAATACTATGCAGCCATAAAAAAAGATGAGTTCATGTCCTTTGCAGGGACGTGGATGAAGCTGGAAACCATAATTCTCAGCAAACTGACACAAGAACAGAAAACCAAACACTGCATGTTGTCACTCATAAGTGAGTGTTGAACAACGAGAACACATGGACACAGGGAGGGGATCATTACACAGTGGGGCCTGTTGGGGGCTAGGAGGGATAGGGGAGGGATAGCAGCGGGTGGGGGGATTGGGAAGGGATAACAGGAGAAACACCTAATGTAGATGACGAGGGGATGGATGCAGCAAACCACCATGGCACATGTATACCTATGTAACAAACCTGCACATTCTGCACGTGTACCCCAGAACTTAAAGTATAATAATAAAAAATAACTAAAAAAATAAAAATCTCAAAACACAGTTTGGTAAAAAGAGTACTACCTAGTGGGCAGGCAGTGGCAATGATGAACAAAAACCATGTTTTTGCTAACATAATCACTACCATTACTTTCAAGCAAATTTACTAAACATGAAGGCTCTCCTTTCCGTCCATAACTCACCCTCAGCTTGATGATGCAGATTATAAAACTCACGAGCAATAATATCTGCCAGCTTCTCACACCATTTCTTTGATGGACAAAAAAGTAATACTGAATGGTTATCACGAATTGTCTCATAACATAAACTAACAACATGGTCCTCATCTCCCTAAAAAGGAAAGATAAATAACCACTTCAGTGGTACTGTCAACAGATTCTCACGTCAGTTTAAAAGCACTCATTTTCCTTTCTGGGGAAGCTGTTTTCTTCTAGAAGGCATAATAAAAATCAGTTACAAAGTCAATAACAAAAGAAAAAAAGAAGAAAAAAAAATGAACTCCTTATGATGCAAGTGAAAGTAACACTTTCTATTCATTCAACTAATATTTATTGATCTCCAACCCTCAGGCAATGGGGATACGAAACTGAGTAAAAAGAAAGTCAAGATCCTAGTAGTCTAGGGGGTTTTAGTCTCACGCAGAGACACATTAAACTACAGATGTTCCAACTCACAATGGTTGGACTTTACGATTTTCTTTTTATTTTACAATGGTGCAAAAGCAGTATGCATTCAATAGAAACCATACTTTGAGTGCTTATACAACTCTTCTATTTTTCACTTTCAGCACAGTATTTATTAAATTACAAGATATTAAACACTTTATTATAAGACAGGCTTTGTGCTAGATGATTTTGCCAAACTATAGGCTAATGTAAATGTTGTGAGCACATTAAAGGTAGGCTATTCAGTAAATTAGATGTATTAAATACATGTTCAACTTACAATGAGTTTATCAGGATATAACTCCATCATAAGTCAAAGACAATTTGTACTAAATAAATATAAAACATGATAATGTATACTATTAAAAGAGTTTTGCCAGGCGTGGTGTCTCACGTCTGTAATCTCAGCACTTTGGGAGGCCAAGGTAGGCAGATCACGAGGTCAGGAGTTCGAGACCAGCCTGGCCGACATAGTAAAACCCCGTCTCTACTAAAAATACAAAAAATTAGCCGGGTGTGGTGGTGCACACCTGTAAACCCAGCTACTTGGCAGACTGAGGCAGGAGAATCGCTTGAACCCAGGAGATGGAGACTGTAGTGAGCGGAGATCGTGGCATTGCACTCAAGCCTGGGTGACAAAGCAACACTCATCTCGAAAAAAAATAAATAAATAAAGGAGGGGTAGCCCTGCAAATCATCCATACTGGAAGTATGTCAATGTATTAATAACTGGATTAATTCATCCATCTACTCACCCATTAAACAAATATTTACTATATGTCAAATACTGATTTAGGTACTGGGAATGGAGCAGCCAACAAAGCCCCAAAAAAGTTCCACCCTCATGTTCTGCTCCAGTAGGAAGAGACAAATAATAACAAAAACAAGGTAAGTAAAACACATAGTATGTCTGGTTTCGAAAAGTGCTAAGGGAAAAGAAATAGAGATCGTGTAAGGGAGAGCACTCTAATTTAGACAAGGTGGCCAGGGAAGGTCTGGGACAGTGACATTTCAGTAAAGGTCTAAAGGCGAAAGAGGAAACCACACTGATGACCCTAAGGGGAAAGCATTCTAGAAAAAGAGAAGCTGAGGTAAGAAATTCTTAGAATATTTAAAAAAAACAGCAAAGAGGCCAGTGTAAAGGAAGTGTCAGGGACCGTAGTAGATAGAGTCAGAGCACTAAGAGGGGCGGGGGGTGTAGATCACGTAGGGCCTCATAGACTACTGTGAAGATACTGGCTTTTATTCTAGATGAAACAGAAAACTATTTCAAGTTTCTGAGAAGAAGGATGACACGATCTGATGCTCATTTTAAATCGATCACTAGCTCCTGATGTAAGCATACAATGAAAGGGATGTAAGCATACAATGAAAGGGACAAGGTCAGAAGCAGAGAGAACAATTGGGAAATGTTTCAATAATCCAGGTAAGAAGTGTAAGTGGTTCAAAAGGGTAGAGGCACAGACATGGTAAAAGAAGAAAAAATTAACGCAAGAGTAAATGAATGTTCACACATAAATGTACTGAAGTAACCAAGGCATAGCCAGGTGAAATACAGGCATAGAGCAAAGCAAGTAAGATTTAACAGCAAGCAAGCAGAAGCTACAAATGCGTACCTAGGAAGTTGGTGAAACATACAAATTTAGTCCCATTCCCAGTTCTGAAATGACCCTTAGCTGTTTCAGTACTCAGAGGCACATCTCTGCATAAAAACAGCAGATGCCTCTCTCCACCAATGTAAATGAGTCAGTTCTTTAACCTCAGGATTGAAGTGTATTTGGGACTATAGGAGGGTACTCATTTACCAAGCACTTTCTAAATGCCAGATAACTTTTAAAAATCACATTTAATTCTCACAATATTCAAAATAAGTATTATAATATCCTATTCTACAGGTGAAGATATGAGATTCACATAGGTTTTGTGATTTAACCAATATCACAGCCATATCAACTATCTCTATCAGATGTAGATAGATCAGACTGCAAAAAATAATATTCTTTTCACTCCACTATTATACCTACCATTTAACAAAAAGTTGATCTTCCACACTAGCAGTTAGTGTAAACTAAACCATAAGAAAATCTTTTCCTAGTAAAAAGAAAAAGCTACAAAATCAGTTATTTTTTAAAAATGTGTATATAATACATAAGGAGACATTTATTTATTTAAATTAAAGGTACAACTACATTTCCTCTCTTACCACCACCACCCATATTTTTCTTTTTTTCTCAGATGGAGTCTCACTCTGTTGCCCGGGCTGAATCACGGTGGCATGATCTCAGCTTACTGCAGCCTCCGCCTCCTATGTTCGTTCAAGCAATTCTCCTGCCTCAGCCTCCCAAGAAGCTGGGATTACAGGTGCCTATCACCACACCCAGCTAATTTTTATATTTTTAGTAGGGACAGGGTTTCAGTATGTTGGCCAGGATGGTTGTCTCGAACACCTGATCTCAAGTGATCCACCTGTCTCGGCCTCCCAAGGTGTTGGGATTACAGACGTCAGCCACCACGCCCAGCTTACCACCAATTTTTTAAGAGAAAATTAATTAGCTTAATATTAATCCTAATGAATATGTAACTCCTAATTACATAATTCAGAAATTGTTAACAATTTTCTAGAAAATGAAATCAAACACACAGATACTAATAGTAGTGATATAAATAAATAGATTTACCTTCACTGGTAGCATGGGTTCAAATTCCCTCACAAGTTTCATTGAAGAGTCATATATGGAATTTCCAACTTTTACTGACTCCAAAAGCGGTACCGGACGAAAGTCAGTTTGGTAGAGTTCAGCATTCAACCAGGAAGCCACAAGCTCCAAATTAGGAAGGGTAGCACTCATGCCAACAATTTGCACAGCATTAGGCAGACAACTGGCTAAATCTGCCTGACTGTAAAAACCAAATGAAAAGAACATTAAAAGATATATACTAAGTTAACAATTAGTGTTGCTAACAATATCCTTGATTATGGCCTTTGGTACACACATACGTACATTTCTTTAGAGTATATACCTAAGAATAAAACTACTGAGTCACAGATTACTGAGTCACAGATTATCTTCTATTTTAATAGATTAATGCCACATTGTTTTCCAAAGTAACACCTCCACAATCTATGTGTTTTCTGTTTTTCCACAATCTTATCACCACTTGGTATTGTCAATCTTTTTAATGTTAGTAGTTATACAGATTATGTGGTAGTATTTCTTTGAAGAAGTAATTCACAGTTCCCTGATAGCCGATGGGACTAAGCATCACTTCATGTGTCTGAACCATGTGGATACCCTGTTTCAACAGCCTGTTTTTTTGTCCACTGATACAGTAGGTTGTGTTTTTCCTGTTCATTTGTAGAATTTTTAAATGTCTGGATAGTGACTTTCTTCTTTTATTTTTGGCTCTGGTTTTATCATTTTATCAAGCTTTCTGTTGCATTATTTTACCTTTTTTTTGAGACAGGCTGGAGTGCAATGAGGCATGATCTCGGCTCACGGTAACCTCCACCTCCAGGGTTCAAGTGATTCTTATGCCACCTGAGTAGCTGAGATTGCAGCATGCATCACCACACCCAGACAAACTTTGTATTTTTAATAGAGACAGGGTTTTGACATGTTGGCCAGGCTCATCTCAAACCCCTGGCCTCAAGTAATCTGCCTGCCTTGGCCTTCCCAAGTGCTGGGACTACAGGCATGAGGCACCCTGCTTGGCCTCTTTTCTAAGTTATTGGGATGGATAATTAAATAATTGATTCTCAGTCTCCCTTAATAATATGAACATTTTTTGCCATCAATTTCCTTTAAAAAAAAAACCAAAAAACTTTTGCTACCCTTTACAGGTTTTGCTGAGACATTTTTATTATACTTTTAGTTCAAACTATTTTCTACTTTCTGTTGTGATTACTTTTTCGACCTAAAAATGTGTCTTATAGCTAAATTCACTGTAGTTAGAAAACAAATGATATGACTCCACTAGAATATGTTAAGACTTGCTTTACGGTCCAGCATATGGAAAACTTTTTGATAAATATTTCATGTGTTACTGAAATGAACATGTACTCTGCTGTTTTGAGGTAACTGTTCAATATATATCCATTAGATCAAATTTGCTGATTAATCATATTTTCTATATCCCAAGTGATTTAAGATGGAGACAGTTATCTGCTTGCTCTATCACAAGAGAGATGTGTTCAATTCTCCCTTAACTGAAAAGAACCTATTGAGTACCTAGCACAATGACTAAAAATAGACCAACACACATCTGTATTAAATTTCACAGCACTGAGGCTGAAGGAAAAGTACTTCCAGTTTTGACTCTTAGACCTGGACAGTCCGTGAAATAATTATGGAGGCCTGGCGCAGTGGTTCATGCCAGTAATCCTAGCACTTTGGGAGGCCAAGACGGTTGGATCATCTGAGGTCAGGAATTGGAGACCAGCCTGGCCAACATGGTGAAACCCCATCTCTACTAAAAATACAAAAATTAGCCAGATGTGGTGGCAGGCATCTATAATCCCAGCTACTCGGAAGACTGAGGCAGCAGAATCGCTTCAACCCAGGAGGGGTAAGTTTCAGTGAGCCGAGATTGCTCCACTTCACTCCAGCCTGGGCGAAAGTGGAAAAAAAAAAAAAAATTAAATTTAAAAAAAAGAGAAAAAGAGCAAAGTTCGTCTCAAAAAGAAAAAAAAAAGAAAAAAAAGAATTATGAGGCATTTTCAGACATGCAAGTTCTCAAAAATGTTATACCCATGTGTGTTCACTGAAATAACGTAGAAGTTCCTGGAAGATATTCCCACCAAAATGAGAAGGTAAATTAACACAGACATGTGGTCAAAAAATGGACAGGGGAAGGGAACCCCAAGATGATAGCTATGTAGCACATATATAGATTAACCACTTGTCTAGATTGGAACAACTTGAAGGGCTTTAAGAATATCTTAAAGAAGATGACTGGTAGAATAGCAAATGTGGTAGAATACACAACTAGGGAATAGGCTAGGGATACATTAGCCATAAGTATATGGAAAACCAAGCCATCAAACAAAAAAGACAGTTATTAATTTCAGAGAAAACCAAAAGTTGTTTAGAAAAGCAAAAGTAATCATATTATGCTATAGTCCAAGTAATCATATTATGCTATAGTCCAGTTACCAATGTCATTTATATAGTCACAATAGTGTAACACTGAATAATCATCTAATTATAACCTAACTCTATTTGAAGAATGGGAAGATGATGAGAGGATAAGGAGACTGCAGAGAAGGAGGGAAAAGATTGGGTAGCGGTGAGTAAAGAATTTAAAAGAAAGTGAGATCTTCATTTTTCATAGTAAAAGTCAGTATATAAAGTGTAAAATTAAAAAATTAAGTAGCCACAGTTAGAGATGCTGCTGTAAACATTTTTAAAAAGCTAGAAGAGTTGAAAGGTAGTTCCCCCTGAGAAGTGAGGTCTAAAAAAATACTGTTTTTCAAAATTAGCCTGACAAATTATATATACAAATGACAAATACAGAACCTGGATTTCTAGAAATCTGTAACAAAAATGTATACACTAAAAGGGTGAGCAGTCAGAAAATTAAGAATGTTTACAAAGTAATCTAAAATCAGTTTTAATCTGAAATACTTTTCCTGTGGTTGTTAGAGACATGGTCTTGCCCTGTTGTCCAGGCTAGAGTAAAGTGGCACAATCATACCTCATTGCAGCCTGAAACTCTTGGGCTCAAGTAATCCTTCTGCCTCAGCTTCCTGAAAAGCTGGGACTACAGGTATGTGCAATGATGCCCAGCTAATTTTTTTATTATTTATAGAAATGGGGTCTCACTGTGTTGCCCAGGCTGGTCTGGAACTTAGGCTCAAGTGATCCTCCCATCTCAGCCTTCCAAAGTGCTGGGATTACAGGTGTGAGCCACCATGCCTGGACTGACTTCTTCTGGAACAAAAACAAACTACATTACATGAGTTTTTCTGAATGTGAAAAATATTACATTCCTTTAATTTATTTAACTCATACTTTTTCAGATAGTTTCTCAACGTGGTTGGAAATCTCAGGAACTTAGTCGTTTCAAATACTCACGAAGATGCTGTTTTCCGAGTAATATAGCAAATCTTGGTCAGCAAAAGTTCCAGCAGATACCCTCGGTGAGAGTCTCCCAGCATATGTAATTCATCCACAACAACCATTCCTAAAAAGATTTTCCAGATACTACGTTTTTACAGAATCTCACATCCACATAATTTTTTCCAACTTTTATTTTACTCTATTTTATTTCCTTTATATCAACTTTTATTTTAGATTCAGGGGGTACATGTACAGGTTTGTTACTTGGATATTTTGTGTGATGCTAAGGTCGGGAGTACAAATGATCCCATCACTCAGGTACTTAGCAATAGTACCCTATCATTAGTTAGTTAGTTTTTCAACCTTTGTTTCCCTCTAGTAGTCCCCAGTTTCTGTTGTTGCCATCTTTATGTCCATGAATACTCAAAGTTTAGTTCTCACTTACAAGTGAGAACATGTAGTACTCAGTTTTCTGTTCCTGCATTAATTGGCTTAGGATAATGGCACCAGCTGCATCTATATTGCTTTACTACAAAGGACATGATTTCATTCTTTTTATGACTGTGCCAAGAAGAAGTTTAAAGGATTCAGTATCTTATACTGCACAGTAAGTAGCTGTCATTATAATACATTGCAAGTGATGCAAACTTCAAACAATAAAGCAAAAACCAGATTCCTCATAATGGGCAATTCTGTTCCAAGATGTTTCAGGTATCACAGGCAGTCCTACTACAAGGTATTCTGGATCTAAAATCAATTATTACTCGGGGCTAAACAAACCCAGGGAAAACTGCCTCTTATTACTCTTCTCAATTGCCAACTTCACTGAAATAAACATACAATGACATATCAAAGACATCTATGGCAGTTAGTCAGTGTATTGACTTTTCAGTGGGAAAACAGACATACTCATGTTAGAAAGCAGCTTAGGAAAAACAGAATAGAGTCCAGAAGAAAAAGATAATTTTAAGAGATTTTTTTTTTAATACGGTAGGCTAGTGAGTCACCCTACTGCAAAACATAAATATGATTATGATGTCCTTCACTACCTGGAGAATTTAACCAATGTATATACTTGGAATAATTCTTAAGAATTACTGAAAATTCAGGATCAACCAATACTTTCTTTAAACATTTTCATAACAACATAGTTTCCCCCACCCCAAATTCTCCCCACCAAAAGACAACTTTCTGGTGAAAAGGAATTTGAGGAGACAATAGACAACTTCCTAATGAAACATAATGATGTTCTTTTTCCTAGCAGTAAGCTATCTCCAAAATTATACTGTCTGAGGAGTTATTTCAACACTTACTCATTTCTTCAAAAAAAACTATTCTGCCTACTATGTACCAGGCACTGTGCTGGGTACATTGGAAATAGCACTTTCTAGGGGTGTATTGCAACTCTCAAAATAATTAAAGTCCAATGGAGTCACAAGTGATAAAATAATTCTGATACAAATCGATTGTAATTTTTCTCTCCAAGCTTTATAAAGCATAGCCCATGTCTTATTCATCTTTGATTTCCACCCTCCACCCCTGCCCTACCATAACTTTACCATGGTATTTTTAAGCTCACTGGGCTCTCAATAAATAGCTGATATTCTTGCTACTTCTGCAGCTGCAATCCTTCTACTGCTATTGCTACCTCTACATAACGGCCTTTCTATAATGGCAAAAAATGCATTAAGATAGAAAATCTTCCCAGAACCCCAAGCTCAAATACAGTATCAGTTTCAGGAAGTCCCTACCACTTCCATGCTAAATGGTAGCCTCTGGGTCCAAGCCCAAAATAGACGTCATAGCACCAGAATATAATAACAAAAACACATATACACTAACAGCAAAAATGACAGATCTGGCCCAGCAGCCTTCCTTCTACTCCTGGTAAGGTTTAGATAAGAGAGAAGCAAGGAGAAATTATTGAGGGCTCAAGGATATCCTCTACGTTTTGTAAAGTACGAACATGCAATGTAATGGAGTCAATAACAGCAGCAGGACACAAAACTTATAAACACAGAGTTCCTAACATTGCAGATGCCAATTCTCGCCTTTAGAAGTAGATGATAGACAATAGAAAAACAAATGGCACCTACAGAAATCACAAGAGCTCCACTTCCTTCCATCAAAAATAGCAACAGAAAGTATTTACTTCTTTTCTAACTTTCTTACCTAACAGATCCATCTTATTTTCCTCTATGAGGCGATTGATCAGACCATTGGCTCTTTCAATTGTGCAGACTGCAACATCCAAGGAAGAGAAATGCCTTGCTGGAGAGATGCTGCCCATATAACCATCTACTTTTATTCCCACTTCCTGAAACAGACTCTGAATTGAGTAAAAAGAAACGATACAGGTGAAAAAACTTGAAATTCAAGAGGTATAGAAAGGTTCTATCCCAGAACATAGACATAAGCATCTAAAGACATCTACCAGATTACTGTCATCAGTTGTTTCTGGCCAGGACACACTGGTTCTTTTTAGAATCATATGCTAAAAATATAAAGTTTGGAACTGGCAAAACTTAGATTTCTGTTAAGAGTCAAATAAAATTATATTATTTTAATGAAAGCATAATAATCTAAAAAGTTCTAAGAGCTATTTATAGGAATTAAAATGGGAGAAAAACTACTTTAAGCACTAACATTTTCAATCTAATAAATAGCAAGAAACTAGCTGTAACACTTGAAGAAATAAATTTATACCTCATGAGAAAAATAGTCTTATTATCCTACTAATGACCAATTTTTAAATGGAATTGGAAGAAAAGTTTTTAAAAGTAAAATTCAGTGGGACTTTTATAATAATTTTTGTTTGTTTGTTTAACTTTTAACTAACATACCTTTCAACAAAAAGGATCCTTTCATCATTTTGTTAGTTTGGGTCTAAGTTGAGAGATGTTACCATGTAGGACCAGCTTTGTTGGCTATTTGGCCTCTGAAATAACTGTTAAAAAGATTTATAGAACCACAGAAATTTAGAGTTGTTCATTCAATAAAATTTTCCCGAGTTTTTGCCAAGTTAACCCACAGTGGTAAGGGTTAACATCCTAATTTTACACATGAAAAAATCTGAGGCCCAGCAGGTTAAGTGCCTGGCCTAAAGACAGTTAGTGGCAAAACTGGGACTAGAGTCCACATTTCTTTAACAATCAGTATACCGATCTTTCCATTTCAAAAGCACATATTTTTTACTGCAGAAATTACAACAGTAAATGTATTCCTTTTAATAAAACACTGTAGTTGTGAAAATGCCCTAAAAACTGTGAGCAGCATGTTGATGTAAACTATTAGTCATTTTGGAAGAACAGAGGAACAGATCACACACCTGGATCTTTACATAAGCACCAATGGATCTTGACCATCATCCCCTAAACATTCCTAAATAGGGCCCCAATTTGGGAAAGGATTTTTTTTTTTTTTTTTTTTTTTTTTTTTTTTTTTTCTTTTTAAATAGAGACGGTGTTTCATGTTAGTGTCACTCAGGCTGGTCTCTAACTCCTGACCTCAAGTGATCCGCCCACCTCAGCCTCCCAAAGCGCTGGGATTACAGGCGTGAGCCACCACACCCGGCCATGGATATGCTTCCTTAAACATTCTTTCCTTTCTATGCTTCAGTCTAGTCCTACTGTTCACTTACATGCTCATTCTCAATGTGCATGTTTATTTGCTAAAGTATTCTGTTTATCTCCTAAGAAAAGGTTTACACATTTTTACACAATTTTCACCAGTTATTCTTCTGATTTGATGGCCCCTTCTGCTTGATGCAATAATTTTTTAAAAATTTACTTCTGTAAATTTAAAACAAATTTTTTTTTTTTTTTTTTTAGATGGAGTCTCACTCTGTTGCCCAGGCTGGAGTGCAATGGCACAGTCTCAGCTCACTGCAACCTCTGTCTCCCGAGTTCAAGCGATTCTCCTGCCTTAGCCTCCCAAGTAGCCAGGATCATAGGTGTGCGTGACCACATCCAGCTAATTTTTGTATTTTTAGTAGAGACGGGGTTTCACCTTGTTGGCCAGGCTAATCTAGAACTCCTGATCTCAGATGATCCACCCGCCTCATTCTCCCAAAGTGCTGGGATTATAGGCATGAGCCAACATGCCCAGCCCTCTTCTGTGAATTTTTAATGTTTTTTTTTTTTAACTTTTTTTTTCCTTTTTTACAGATGGAGTTTCACCATGTTGGTCAGGCTGATCTTGAACTCCCGACCTCAGGTGATCCGCCCACCTTGGCTTCCAAAGTGCTTGGATTATAGGCGTGAGCCACCATACCTGGCCCAAATTTTTAATGTTTTTAGCAGTCACCTCTTTTTTTTGTTGAGACAGAGTTTCGATCTTGTTGCCCAGGATGGAGTGCAATGGCACAGTCTGGGCTCTCTGCAACATCCACTTCCCAGGTTCAAGCAAGTTTTCTGTCTCAGCCTCCCAAGTAGCTGGAATCACAGGCATACACCATCATGCCCGAATAATTTTGTATTTCTAGTAGAGACAGTGTTTTTCCATGACAGTCAGGCTGGTCTCAAACTCCTGACCTCAGGTGATCTGACCACCACAGCCTCCCAAAGTGCTGGGATTACAGGCATGAGCCACCATACCTGGCCTGCAGTCACCTCTTAAAGCTACATGGGACGCAATAAAGAAACTTTGTTTTCCATTTGCTTTTATAATTCTATTTCAAATGAATGAAGCCAAGGCTGCCAATATTGAGCCTTTCACTATTTCAAACTTAGTAAAAGACATTACCTGGAGATAATATTTCTTCTCTTTAGCCACAGAAACAAAGGGAAGAATAAACAAAGCTTTCTTCCGCATTTCCAAAACCCGCTTCAAAATAAGTAATTCTGCCACAAGAGTCTTCCCAGCACTTGTAGGAGCTAAAACATGATTATAACACAAGATTATAAGAAAAAAGTAATATTTGGTATACTTCATTAATAAATGTTTTAAGCAATGTGCAGTACTACAGCACCTAAGGCTAATATATCACTAAGGCCACAACAGCATTTAAAACCTTTATTCGCCGAAATGCCCTTTACTTTAAACCAGCTGTCTAAATAGTTTCACTAAAAACAGTGTATACAACTCTTTATATCAACAATATATGATGAATACTACTGAGTATCTAGTTGATACCTAAAGATCCTTTCCTTTAACTACCAAATGGTTAAAAGGCCTGCTTCGAGGAAGTAGATGAACAACTTTATCATGATAGGAACTGTGATCGAAGTTGAGGAAAAGGGCTGGGCGCAGTGGCTCGTGCCTGTATTCCCAGCACTTTGGGAGGCCAAGGCCAGGGGATCACTTCAGGGGGTTGAGACCATCCTGGACAACATGATAAAACCCCATCTCTATTACTATAAAAATAAATTAAAAAAAAAAAAAGCCCGGCATGGTGGTGGGCACCTGTAGTCCCAGCTACTCAGGAGGCTGAGGCAGGAGAATTGCTTGAACCCGGGAGGCAAAGGTTGCAGTGAGCTGATATCATGACACTACACTCCAGCCTGGGTAACAGAGTGAGACTCTGCCTCAAAAAAAAAAAAAAAAAAAAAAAAGTTGAGGAAAAGGAGCTGTAAGGAATCTTATGAGAAGGGAAGGAAGAATACAAGAGGAGGCTGGGGGCAGTGGCTGATCCCTATAATCCCCGCAATGTGGGAGCCGAGAAGGGTGAGGTGGTGTGTGCCTATAATTCCAGCTACTCGGGAGGCTGAGGCCTGAGACTCACTTAAACCCAGGAAGTGGAGGCTGCAATGAGTTATGATCATGCCACTGCACTCCAGCATGGGTGACTCAGCAAGACTTCGTTTCAAAAAAAAAAAAAAAAGTAAGAGGAAAGGAATGCCATGCCTAAGAAACAGCATGTGGTGCAAAGGCCTAGAAGAAAGACTGGCATGTTCAGATGACACAGTAAGTAATTTAGCAAGCACGGAGTATAAAGTACTCCAGGGGTGTAAAAGAGATAATCAAAGTGCCACAGGTTTACAATCCCACCATTTATGAAGTTTAAACCTTGTTCCGAAAGCAAGGTAGAGACTGATGGAGCTTTATTAAAAGGAGTGATAAAATCATATTTGTACTTTATAAAGATCAATTTGGACTGGGCACAGTGAATCACGCCTGTAATCCCCAAACTTTGGGAAGATCACTTGAGCCCAGGAGTTCAAGATCAGCCTGGACAACACAATGACACCCCCATAGCTACAAAAAATTTAAACAAAAAAAAATTTTTTAAAGACCACTGTGGCTGTAGGAGCAGGCCAATATCAGAGGAAAAGGAAGGACTAGTTTCAAAGCTACTGCATAATCTAGAAGAAAGATGATAATCAGCTGTACCAGGTAATGAACCCAAAAACAGAAAGGAGTCAGAAGCAAGAGATATATGAGGCAGAAACAGGACTTGGTGATTAATTGTATAAGCTAGTGACCAAAGTTCTGAATGGTACCCAAGTTTCAGTTTCAAGCAATTGAAATGGTCAAGCCATTATGCCATTGCCACTAACTACGACTTCTTAGCATTTACGAGTATTTTATTTTTGGTAATGTCCTTTCACAATACAAGTACTTTATATGTGCCAACAAGTCTCTGACCTCTCATATGTGAAATAATGTAATCTTCCCTAAGTACTACCAAGGCACACATACTCACCAACACATAGACACTCTCTCATTCTTCCTAAGTGATCTGTGAGGCTGCATAGCCAGTATGTGATAGTTTTCAAATCCAACCAGTCAAATTCCACTGCCTGAACTTATATCTGCTGATAAGTTATTTCTTTAATTCTCCCCTACAGCCAAAAATCTGTGACTCATAATTTCAGAGAAAACTGACACAAAGGAATTGCATCTTATCAAAAGATTAAAGTGGCATAGTAAACATGGGTTAAAAATTGCATATGTCATAGTTGCCCTTGAAAACCCACATAAATTTTTTTAATAAATTTCATAAAGTATATTACATATTGTTTGTATATACAACCCTGTACAAACAGGTCAATTTATGACTGGGTGCGGTGACTCACACCTATAATCCCAGCACTTTGGGAGGCCGAGGTGGGTGAATCACTTGAGGTCAGGAGTTCAAGACCAGCCTGGCAAACATAGTAAAACCCTGTCTTCACTAAAAATACAAAAGTAGCCAGGCCTGGTGGTCCACACCTGCAATCCCAGCTACTTGGGAGGCTGAGGCAGGAGAATCACTTGAACCTGGGAGGCAGAAGTTGCAATGAGCCCAGATAGAGCCACTGCATTCCAGCCTGGAGCAAGACTCTGTCTCTAAAAAAAAAAAGTCAATTAACAAACATACAATGTATAATGTTCATACCCTGAAAAGCAACCAGGATCAAATGGAGGAAGAGCAGCTTTATATCTCCCATTGCATACTCACTGGGATATATGTATGTTGAGCATGATGATGGCAAGTGGAATTGCCCACTCTTTAAATTGTCATTTTTCTTGCTTTTTCCCTCCATAGTCACATAACAAAACTTTTGTAATTTAAATATAAATAAAACTCTACTTTTCACACATATTTTAAGATTTTCTCTAGTTTTAAGGCACTGCCTCATTCACCTTTTAAAAGAACCATAACTACTTCAATGGAGTACTCTTTGAATCATATCTTATAAATAGTAATTAGTTTACATAAATTTGGATACCTGAATAGACTAAATTCTTTCCTTCCAGGACTTGTCCGAGCAAAAGGCACTCTGCCTGCCATTCAAACATCTTTTTTACACCAAAACTGTGGTATTTTTCCAGAACTGCTTTAGGGAGTCCCCAATTTGCCAATAGTAGCTTGTCTATTTGGCAGTCGGGAGCGGTAGGCTTGCATTCTCCTTTTAGAAAAAAGAAAAAACTAAAATTTACTTATAATGTATGAGTTTACAGTTAGCCTTTCACTGTGTCGAAATTCCTGTGTTGAAATGAAGCTATTTAAAGCACATCCTGACTTCAAGAATCTTATGAGAAACGCCATGTATAGAAAAGTAATAAATTGTTATTTAAGGCATATGATAAAAACAATTCCTTACAAGCCTCAAACAAACAAACAAAAACCCCTGTGCAATACACAGTAGGTAAAGAGTGTTGGAATTTCGGGCGGAGTGGGGGGAAGAGGATAATATGGAAGCATTACAAAGCTTAGTTAGGTAAGTTTCTATTTGTAAGTTTTAGTTCCATGACGACTGAACAGCTAACGATTTTAAAAAATTGGGTAGACATCCACCAGACACCCAACCAATCTCATTACGAATCCCTGGACGCCAAACAGCCTGTGCTATCCTCCAGGCCCAACAATCCGGTCTTAAGGATCTGTAAGGAGCACTGAGTACTATGAGGAGCGAGCCCTCCAACAGGTGATGGTATTTGGCTAAATAGGAAGTTGTTTCTGTAAAGGTCGAAAGACCCAGAAGCCACGTTATCATTAATACCAGGCGACCACTGAAAACACGCGTATGTCTGAACAGAAAGTGACCTGCCACACCAGGCCCGAGTCACAGAGAAGGGGAATAGAAGCCCAATGGGGTATGCAATCAAGCAAGCCCCGTGGGGGGAGGACACCTCCCGACCCATGGCCCGGCGGAGCTGCCTCCGTCGCCCGCGGCCTCCCGGGTTCCCGGAGCACCTGCATTTGCGGCTGACTGACGGCCGCGGTCTTTCAGGCTGCCACCCAGGCCCGGCGGCGGGCTCAGCACGGTCCGGGAGAGGAGCTGGGGGCTGGCACTGCTGTCACCGCCGCTTCCCGACAACGAATCTGAGCCTGACTCTGAACGCCGCCGTTTCCCACTCCGACGCAGAAGATTCATGGCAAACCCTTCTCGGAGGATCAGGGCAAGCCACAGTTCCAGCGTCCTCCCACTCGGGAAACCCCTGGCCTGCCAACAGGTGCTGTCATCATCTTCCCGCCTGTCTTCAAACTCAAACCTCCCGGCCCGCCCCGGAACCATAGAGTTCTCAGTGGCTTAAGTAACCCGAAAGCCATAGAATCGTCGGGAAGAAGCCGCTCTCGCTGGTGTCTAAGATTTCCGGCCTCCAGCCTCTGGTGTTAGTGAATATGAGACGTAAAGAGGAAAGCCATAGAGTCGTGGGGAAGGAGCGGCTCTCGCTGGTGTCTAAGACTTCCGGCTTCCGGCCTCCGTTAGTTAATATGAGACGTAGATTAAAGAGGAAGAATACAGAATCTACAGTTATAACCATACTTACCCCTCTCTTTTTATCCATTTCTGGTTTTAATAGGAAGGCCATGCTAACTTCATAAAGTGGGCTGCCCCAGTAGGTAGATGAGGGAAGTACTTCTTAACGTATTGGTATTTTGTAAAAAATTATTTCACATTGCGAAGGGTTCTTCAAGAGAGCCTAGGGTTTCTAATGGAGCATAATTTTCCCCTTTCTCCTAGTGTATGATGGCAGAGCAGGGCTATTTCTGAACGCAATTTCCATTTTAGCCAGCATGCACTGTGAGGAATATGTGATGAGGAATTGGGGATTGCTGGCCGACAGACCCGTGAGACACCTGTATGAACGCGGCGAGGAAGGGGCTCTGAATGTATCTCAGGGATCGTTATGAGCCAAGAGCTTAGTAAGGGATCTGTGTACTCTTTTTTTAAAAGTAGAAGCGAATGAGTTCTGAAAGTAAAGCAGTGACCATGCATGACTTAGTTGCAGCATTAATTTCACCAAGCAAAGCTAGTAGGCCCCAAACCTGACCTGGAGAGGCTGTGCAATTCTAGAGCGCTAAAAATCTCAAAAGATCCAGTTCAATTAAAAAACAAACAAACAAAAAAGACTACTCGAATACAATCTGAAAAATAGCACTCGAACCACCAACTCTTTCCGTGAAAACTTGTTTTAAGGGATTTAAATGACAATATTTTAACGTTCCACGAGATGGCGACATTACTCCATGAATGAAACATTTTTTTCTTCGCCTTTTATGCAATCAACAAGTATTTATTGAACATCTACTGTAAACTAGCTACTGGGTATGGCAGTGAAATGGCATAAAATGGTTCCTGCTCTCGTCGGCCGGGCGCGGTAGCTCACGTCTGTAATCCCAGCACTTTGGGAGACTGAGCCGGGCGGATCATGACGTCAGGAGTTCGAGACCAGCCTGTTCAACATGGTGAAAACCCATCTCTACTAAAAATACAAAAATTAGCCAGGTCTGGTGGAGCGCGCCTGTTAATCCGAGCTACTCAGGAGGCTGAGGCAGGAGAATTGCTTGAACCCAGGAGGTGGAGGTTGCAATAAACCGAGATCCTGCCATTGCATTCCTGCCTGGGCGACAGAGTGAGATTCTGTCCGTCCCCCCCACCCCCAAAAAAAAGCTTCCTGCTCTCAAAGAGAAAGAGTCTAGAGAATGAGATAGACATTAAACAAATCAGTTAATAATTAAGTGTGCCATACGCTCAGGCAGAAATGAATAGAGTACTTGCTTGTTAATAATAATCATCTATTTAAGAGAAAAAAAGGATAAGAAATGAATAGAGTACTATCAAAGAAATAAGAGAGATCTGGCTGCGTTTGGTGGCTCATGCCTGTAATCCCAGCACTTTGAGAGGTGGAGGCAGGTGGATCACCTGAGGTCAGGAGGTAAGACCAGCCTGGCCTACGTGGTGAAATCCTGTCTCTACAAAAAATACAAAAATTAGCCGGGCATGATGGTGGGTGCCTGTAATGCCAGCTACTCGGGAGGCTGAGGCAGAGAATTGCTTGAACCCAGGAGGCGGAGATTGCAGTGAGCCAAGATAACAGGCCACTGTACTCCATACTGGACGACAGAGCGAGATTATATCACACACACACACACACACACACACACACACACACACACACACACACGAGATACTTAGATTGTAATCACGAAAGAACTTTCTCAGATGCTGTGTAACTTAAGGGTTAACAGTGCTACTCTGGAGGCAGCCAGTCTAGGTTTGAAGATTTAGTAGCTGTAAGATCTTGCGCAACTTACTTAACCATTTCTTTTTTCTTTCTTGTTTTTTTTGAAATGGAGTCTTGCTCTGTCATCCAGGCTGGAGTGCAGTGGCTCGATCTCCGCTTACTGCAACCTCTGCCTCCCAGGTCTAAGCAATTTTCCTGCCTCAGCCTCCTGAGTAGCTGGGATTACAGGCATGTGCCACC